CGGGCTGCGAGAGGCTGGAGGCGGCGAGGGAGGACGAAGAAGAGGAGGGAAAGGTGACGAGGCCAGCAGGACCCTGTGCCAGGGAGCAGCATCCAGGACCTTAATTGTGTGACCGGAGGTGCGCTGGGCGGAGGGTGCCCGAGAGGGGCGCGTCCACGTGTCGTGTGTGTGTGTGTGTGTGTGTGTGTGTGTGATCAGCCAGCCAGCCAGCCAACGAGCGAGCAATTGAGAGAGAGAGAGAGAGAGAGAGAGATTGTGGGGGAGAGGGGAGAGGAGCCTACCATGCGCTTCCCCTAGTGCAGATCGCGGGAGAACCCAATCAAGGGGCGAGCTGGACCCAGCTCTGATCATTTATAATCCTTGACTCCTCCGCTCCGCCACTTGTCAAGATGACAGGTATTTATTTCTTCTTCTTTATTCAAAAAAAGATATTCCCCCATTTACTGCCTTTTTCTGTCACATAGGATTTGCCGGACTGAACCACGTCCGCCGCCCCTCCCTCCTTCCCTCTTCCCGGCCGCGTCGGGTACGGGAAAAGCACCGAGGCTCCCATGCTGTGACCAATCAGTGCATCCACTACTCTTGCCGTGATTTAGGGGTCACCCATGAATAACACTTCACGCTGATGAATGGCTCTTGCCGGCTTTCGGCTCTGATGAGGGGTCTGCCAGCCGCTGATTGCAAACACTAATGAACTTACAGCGCCATTGGAAATTCACACGCACCAACAAAGTGCGCCGGGATGAGCGTGGCGGGTCTGTCTTTTTCTCGGGGTGGCAGGGAGGAGCCACGGGGGGAGGGGGCGGGCAATTGCTTTGGACTTAAGTGGAAACACTTCTGTGTGCAATCACACCTCTAACCTTCTTAGAAATCTACTTTTCTTGATCTTCCGTAGGGTGGGCATTTCAGGGCAGCTGAGTCACCGAGGCGGTGGGAGTGCAAGACACTCCCGGGAAGCTGGATTCGGAGGCAGAAGGGTATAATTAAGGATTTCCACCCCCGGGAGGCGGTCCGTCCTCCACTGGGGCTGAGAAAATGACCCGCGCCTTCCCTGCCACCAAACGCTTTCGTCCCGGGTTCAGAATCTCGAATGACCTTCTCACAGGGGTGGGGGTGGGGTGGGGGCACTAAACTCTCAGACGCCTTTACAATCCTCAGTCTGGCAGGGTCGCAGCACTAGTGTCCTCCCCAGGCTTGGGCACAGGCCTGGGGACAGGTTCTGGAACCCTTTAAATGCTCCCAGGGTTACCCTCCCCACTCCGCACCCCCAGCCCGTCAACCCCAGCTCCCGCCTTCTTCTCAATTCTCCATTTCCCCCTCAGATTACTAGACTAACAGGACTCCTGCCTCCACGTTGTTGTTGTGAGGTGTGTGTGTGTGTGTGTGGGGGGGGTGTTCTTTCTCTCTGCTTGCGTCTTTCTACTCAGCCTTGCACCCGCCAAAACTCTCGCTCCTGGCTCCCCCAGACGCCCTGGCGTGAAGAAAGTGGGTCCAGGAGCTTGCTAATGGTACCACCCCACCGCCATGGTCCAGCTGCAGGGTGCTTTCTGAACACCCAATGAGCGACCTATGCGGAGCAGCTCCACGGCGTGTCTGCGCCTTCAGGCACACCTGGGTCCCCAGACCGGCTGCCCTCCCGGGTGGGACGCGTGCGCTTAGGGACTGGCCGGGGCCTGGGGCTTCTCTGGGGGCACCTGAGCATCCTCCTGGGACCGCACCCCTCTAGAGTGCCGGGGAGGGTCAGCGTCCGGTCTGGCCCAGGCCACCCAGTCCTCCATGGGCAGAGGTGACTGTGCTCTCGGACCCTTTTCTTTCTATTATCCACCGACCTGCGCGCCTAACCTGGTTCAGCCAGAACAAGAAACAGATCAACCACGGGGGGTGGGGGGGTGGGGGGTGGGGAGAACTCAGACAATGCCTCTTAGGGAAGCCTGAACCTTAGACTTTTAATGACAATATATCCAAAGTTTTAGGTTAACTAACAAGAGAACCTTTGAGCTTGAATTAAGGTACCCAGGTTCTCTCTAGAGTTCCGGAAGTAGCCAAGTGACCTCGCGCGCCACAGAGCGAGCGCCCAGAATTCTCCGTGTCGCGGGAAAAAGACCCCAGTGACGCAAAGCACCTGCCACGTGCACACGGTTTGCCAGAGGGACCTAGAGTGGCTCTAGGGGGAGGCCAGCCTTATTTTAAAAATAAGCCTTGCGGGGGCGGGAATGAGTTAAACTCCCCTTATTCGAGCCGTTATCTATAGCTTCAGAAAAGTTGTAAATTACGAAGCTAGGTCTCAAGCCTTTATTAGGTGGCGATCACGCTGGCGCGACCTTGAGGAAACTGCGAAGGTGTTTCCAAAATCACCCGCTTGGGCAGTTACCATGAAAACAAAATCTTGAAAAGTTGTCTAAGGCGTCCTAGTAAGACGTCCTAGCTTTTTTGCAGGTTGCCATCTAGGAAGCCGCAACAAAGAGAGCTAATCCCGGGCCCCAGCCAGAAGAGGCCAGAGCGGGAAGAGCTAAATTGCTGATAAAACAGGTGGGAGTTACTGAGGGGGGAGGAGGAGGGAGGGGGTGGCTGGAGGGGAAGCCATGTTTCTGCTTTTCAGCTCTTTTTTTTCCTTCTTCCAAAACTCTTACTATAGCTAACTAGCTAACGCTGGCAATAGACATAGGAACCAAATGGTAATAAATCTTGGAGCGTGTCTCTCACCCAGCTCCTCTCTACATGATGATATTCAAAAGTTTTTCAGTACGTGATGCTCAACACTGAAACTAACTGGATACACTGTGTGTCTTGTTTGCGTTGTTTTGTTTTGGAAACCCTCCAGAACTCGTTCGCCCGGGCCCTGTGCGCTCCGCGTTCTGCGTGGCGGAGGGACAGAGCGTGCAGGGGTCCTCCACTGCCCCCCAGGTCTGCAGAGCGCGCAGCCCGACACCCAGGAAGTTAAGTTGGGGGTTGGTGGCTTTTGGTTTGGTTTGGTTTTGTGCCGCTCCTGAACAAAGAAATTCCATCGTCCGAGGCCATGAGAAAAAGCTGATGCTGTGCAGCGCCAAAGTGTACCATGCGCTTCGTCCTCCGAATGAATCCCTGGAAAGCAGCGAGGCCGAGCGCTATGTGACCAAGGAGCTGTTCGCCTGGCGGAGCGGCTGTCAGGGAGCTCGGGCAGGGCGGCTAGCTCGCCTCGCCCTGGGCAGCAATAAAAACTGAGCAGGAGAAGAAATGCAAAACGTTGGTGTCTGCTTCTGCAAACCTCTGGCCCCTCCCAGCCAACTCTGGTGACTTTGCCACGTTAGCGCTGCGGATTGTGCATGGGATAATGGGCCTGAGGTGGTGGCATCGCCCTCCCATGGGGCCCTCTGGTCACACAGTTCCACAACTCGCCCAAAAGAAAATGTTGTGGAGCTCTTCTCGGCCTCACCCCCCGCCCCCCTTGCCCTTGGAGATACTCATTCCTCTGCTTTTGCAAACCACTGAAACAGTGGTGTCTGGGGAGGGGGTGGGGTGGGAGGGAATACAGCTAGGGTGGTGAGGGGAGGAGGGGAGGACTTCACTGGGGACGATATTAGAGGGGGTAACAATAAAATGTCTATGGATTTTTGTGTGTTTCAGATTTTTCTTCAAAAAGTTCTATGGTTGACACGACAAGCCCGTTTTTCATCAGATCAGTGTAATTGCATGGCTAAGTCTCTATGCTAATTTGCTTTAGAAGTTTCTGGTGCCTCTCTAGTCAGAGCTGTCATGATTACCCAATAACAAGGAGGTGTCTAATCAGGTGGCTTCACTGTCCTGTGCTAATAAGCACATGTTGGTGTTTTCTTATCTGCCCCTGTGGATCCAGTTTCTGATTTGTGTCACGTTTAATGGTGGTTTCACTATAATATTGTGCGGATTAGTATTTATGAACCCAAATCATTAACTTTTTTGGAAATTAATGTAATTGAAGGGAAAGGAGATAAATCCAAAAAAGGCTTCCGCCCATTCATTCATATGATGCTGTAACTCATGTTGTAATTCAGTGTAGGACAATTTTACAAAGCAGTGTTGTTAGTGGTTATATAATCTGACATGTTATAGCTTATGTTTATCACACATTATTCTGTGTTTTAAATTGATGTGCAGTACTATGGATTCTGTCTGGTCTGGTCACGGGAGGGGGGTTGACACCATTGGTTCCCACACTGGGTGACACTCATCTTTGTGATGCTCTGAAAAGTGAACCCCTAGAAGAGGATGGGCCAAAACTCTGGGTTCAACTCAGGATTAGGAAGTAGCTGCCTGTCTTGGTCCTCTGGAACTGATTGGGTGGGAGAGGGACAGACTGAGGTAGGACAGAGGGCACCCTTCCCTGTTGCTACTCCACCAACTTCTCACAGGCCCACACCTCACATGAAGGGGATGCTTATCCAATTTAGTTGGCTTCCCCTCTGCCTATTCTTGAAGCTGTTGTATTGGGGGCTGTCAGATTTCTCCTCCTTTCTCAAAGCAATGGCCAGAGCTGGGGGGCCTGGGGGGCAGCTGATCTACCCCCCACCTGTGGGAAGCAGCCAGTCTCAGTGCCCACTTCTCCTTTGGCATTTAGGGATTTCAGGCCAGTGCAAGGGCAGCACTGGTATGGATAAGGGTTTCCTAAGGGGCTGTTGAACACCACAGGTATTCCTTGGACATAGGTATGCTCTGGTAAACTGAGGCGAGAGTACCTTGACTGAGGAACTCAACCAAGGACTTGATGGGGCTGCAGCCACTCCCATCTCTCCTTGCTGTAGGCATTGGTGAGGAAGGGGAGGAAATGACTTGGGGAATCACTTGGATAGACCCTCAAGCTCATCCTCTGAAGTAATCAGGGAAGGCAACCATCTAAACAGGTTCCAAAGGTTATTTCCCCAACTGAGAACAACACAAGTGATAAACAAAAAGGCAAACTCACTGCCATCGAGAATCGATACTGACTCATAGAGACCCGATAAGGACAGGGGAGAGCTACCCTGTGGATTTTTGAGACCGTCATTCTTTGTGAGAGTAGGAAAGCCTCCCTTTTCTCCTGTAAAGCGACTGGCGAGTAACCACCACAATGCCAAGGGTCTTGGCTGTCACTGGGGACCACCTGAGTTATAGGCAACTGGAGTGTTAACCAAATCGCTTTGAGTGGCGCAAATCACCAAGAACGATTTACAGCACTAGAACTTACATCCGACTGGGAAGTCTGTTAGATATCTCTGAAGTGATTATTGTTATTTTTAATCCCTCCGAAACAAGGTACTGAAGAATGAATAACATTTCTCTTGGCTGTTTAATTGAAATAAACCTGTAAAACCAATATTCTAATTTGATCACCGATGAGCCATAAAATGAAATGACTGTTTGTGGTGGAAAACATGCTTCCGTGACCTTAATTAAAGCATGAATGGCCTCTCTCAGTGGACATGCCTTTTGGAGCCACTCTGCGGGCTGGTGACCATACAAATCAACCTTTAAATGGTACCAGGCTTTCCCAGTACATTAGTTTGTGTTCCACTGCATAAACCAAGACTGCACGTGGCTCTGACCTTTGGTGACAATGCAGTGGTGGAGTCCAACGCAACTGCTGATTTGGTTTTGCTAGATCACCCTAAAAGACCCCAAGTTCTATGAAGGATTCTGAACAGAGAGGCATCCTTCGGTTGAGTTCCAAGTATGTGCTCGAAAGTTCCTCCCATACTGTCCCACACATAAGCGTGTGCTCTTTATAACTGTTATAAATGGAGAGCCTTTAAAATTCTATTCTGCTTTCTGTAAACACATTAGTATATATAGTGTATCTAGCGACTTGATGCCAAGTGGATATAAGGAGATATGAATTGCGACAAGACCAACATCAATGAGAGACCCAGAAGGATTATTTGGGGTTAATGAAATAATATCTTTTAAATAGGTCAGGAGTTTACTTATCGAGACAGGTTAAACTAAAATAGAACAAAAGCACAAAAACAAAAAACCCTCATTGCCATCAAGTCATTGGCAACTCTTGGCATTGAAATGCATCATTCCCTAGAGGTGCCCCACTGTCTTCTCCCTGTGCTGACTTCAGCCTGGCACCAACCTACATATCAAAGCGCCTATTAGTGTTACCCTCCTCCCTTAGAAGTACCTCCACCATATTTTCTGCCTGTGGTAATAATGGCCCTGATTTTGCAGGGACCACTCCCAATAGCCGAGAGCTGCTGCAACGGGATAGCATGGCCCCATTCCTCTGTGAACCATGAGGCCTAGCCTAAGGCCTGCGTTTATAAGATACTTAGAAGATGTTGAGTTAAGTAGGTGAATAGTTATTGTTCTGTTGTACTCTACCATTCGGCCTTTCTTTTTTGTTTTTAAAAGATAGGCCATAAATGAAATGATCCTTGAAAAAATATGTTCATTAAGCATGCCGTTACAAAATTTGAGACATGCAAGACGCCTCATCCATTCACCTTTGAACTTAGTTGACTTTTCCTCAGACGCATATTTTGAAGTCAAGACAAAAGTAATGGGCAAAGACAGAGAGGTCAGAATCTGATTTACTCGTTTTCAATAAGACGTGGCAATTACTGAAAACGGATCGGAAATTTTGGAGGTAGGCACCTATTGAATACTGATACTGCCAGCATTTGATGATAAAGATGACAGAATATATAAAACCCTTAAACTGTTTCCCAAAGTCCTTTGGATTTCTTAGCGCAAGAAGGGGTCGAGCTTAAGATGACTGCTTTCCATTCCTTCAAGACAAGGGTTCAGCTGGTGTTGGGGAAACAATCTCTGTTTGTTCCTGTCTGTTCAGGAGGACTGTTTCTAATTGATCTGGCATGGAATTGAGTTGGAGATGTGTGTGTTGCAACCGAAGCGCAGAGCCTGTGTGCTTTGTAAAGTGATAACCATATGGGCCTTATTTGAAACATTTGAGGATTTTCGACATTAACCTGGGTTAAATTGAGCTATAAATTCAACTCAAATGTATACCCCCTGACAAATTCATCATCACTTTGGACACCTTCAATCCAGGCTCCCATCAGGTTAATAAAGATGCTGGCGCCTATCACACACATGTAGGTTTCTTGTGATAAAGCACCCTAATGTCGTACTTTGTGCTGTTTAAATGCAAATTGCCCATATTAAGCAGACATTTTCTATTGTTTTCCCTTTCAGTAAAGTGGAAATGTTTAAAAATGATCTCTGGGCAAAGAAAAGGATACATAGTCAAATCTATTTCCTCTTACACTATTTTCAAGTGCAGTTCACTATCATCATGAAGATTTAATTAAGCAAGCTCAGCTAAGCTAGAAAGCAAAGCAGCTAGAAGTTACTACTTATGGAAACGTATTTAGGCCTTATCCCAAATAATTTATTTACTCCTCATTTAGGGATCAGAACAATCACTGAAGGTTAAAAAACACGGCAGACATCTCCAGCTCTTCTCCCCTTATTTTTGTATATCAAATGTGGAGCTTACATTTTGTTACAGATAATAGTCCTAAATCGTGGGTGTTGATGGTCCTTCCCGTGCAGCTTTAAATTGCCTTGAAAAAGATACAGTTTCTTTAATTAAAAAAGCTGCACAGAACTAATCCCTCTAGCTGCAAAGAGAAAAGTTTTAAGCAATCTCTTTCTGCTCTGAGAGAGAAAGACAGACAATACCATAACAGATCAGAAACATAAGCTATAGTCTGCAGCCAGGAGCACAGCAGGGAACTGAATACTGCTCCGACTGTGTCATTTTTTAATCCCCCATCCCGGTTTCCCCGTCTGACCTCCTGCTGAGATGAAGTTATCACAGAAGACAGCTTTACTCTCACCAATGAATCCAACCCTGGATCTGTATTATCCTGAGCAGATCAAAACACCGCTTTCATCAAATAGCATTATCTGCATAAAAGGCATGCAATTGCCCAATAATTTCACCCAAACTATGCTATTCATTTAAAGGACAAGAAAAGAAATGTAATTCATTCCTTTTGGGGGGGGCGGAGAGCAGGACTTGGGGGGGGGGGCTAGAGGCAGAGGCTGGAAAAGCTAAGTTACTCCCTTCACTGATGGGAACTTTTCTATTTTTAAGCAACAAAATCCCAAGAAGGGTCCATTCTAAAGCCTCCCTACTCCAGCGCTTTCAGATGAATTGTTGTAGCAAGTTAGTGCCATGTGAGCGACAAAGGTGCAAGTCGTGTCGAAAACTGGCAGTGAGAAATTACAAAGCTTACTGATGTCATTAGCCATGCTTCCCTGAACCCCAATAAAAATATCATATCCTGTAAAAGTGGAGAGGCATAGGAATTAGCTGAACAATTGGACAGAGTTCACACTGGGGAGGTGTGCCTACTGTAAAGTTTGAGTCCACAAAGACATATTCAACTTTGGCTTGATATTTTTTGGGGAAAAATACTGATGATATTTTAAGAGTGGAGACCAGCTTTTTATTAGTTAGAAAATTCTTTAGCTTCCACCAGGTTTTCTTTTCCAT